CTTATCTTTGGTTTGACTAGCAAGAATTAAAATTATCCATGCTTGAGCCTAATTTTTAATCAAGAAGTATAAAATGATAGACCTAAGTTGATCTTGAATGAAATAATTGCTACCTTGAGGTACTTAGTTTCTTAATGAAATTTTTTCTTTCAAAACTGATACAAAAAAGGGCAAGTATATATTGGGGGGGGCAAAACATGGAAAATAAATTTTATTGCACTGACTGACAGATGTCAATAACTGATTTACAAGTTAAACCACTTGAATAGTTATGAGGCTGAGAACACTGTTGAAAATGGCCATTTGTTGTAAATTTCTTGTATTAAGAAGGTTTACAGATCTGTACAAGCCAGGGACAAAAAATACAAATCATAGTGTTTATGAAAACTAAATTTAAGGATGTTATATGACTTGCCTTGATATTTCTCTCTTCTCATTTTTAGTATATTTTCACACAGAATTGATATATAGGAGGTATGGGTACCTAGTCTAATATTTTTGACTGAAAGGATGATTTTTCTTTTTGCATGTGAAAAATCGTAATACAGGTTTTGTGGTAAGTTGTTGTGTTGTCTTTCACTAATGACACAGTGACTAAACAGTAACTTGTAAATTCATATGACTATTATTAATTACAATTATTATGCAGTAAGGATGTGTAACCGTGCTTGTCTTTCATTTTATAGTTGTCATTCACAGGATCAGGTGTTCAAGTTTCAAGAAGAGTTCGGCATAGGTGTCCCACTCCCCTGCCTCTCCTTAACTTACTGCTAGAAGCAGCAATACTTCCAGAATTTTCAAAAATGACTATTCTTTGTGGGCTATATATTGTCCATAAAATGGTGGGGCTGGAAGAGTCTGTATGTATGGGTCATGCAAAGCATAAGGATGACTGTATTTGTATTATTGGGCAGACTCTATAGACTTTCTAGGAAAAGGCATTGGCTTACCTGCAAGGTGTCTTTTCTAGAAGATCTTTTTGCTGAGCTGTAGGAAATGCCAGATTTTCATATGTCAACTGTAAAAAGAGTTTTCTCCAGCATCTAAATACTGTGTTGTATGTATCAATTACAGGTTTATAGAAGAAGGGAAAATGGCTCAAGAAACTAACCGTAGCCAAGTGCCTATGCTTTGTTCCACTGGTTGCGGATTTTATGGGAATCCTCGTACAAATGGCATGTGTTCAGTGTGCTACAAAGAACACCTTCAAAGGCAGAACAGTAATGGTAGAATTAGCCCTCCTGGTAAGTAATGCTAACATACGTCTGTTTGAACAACTTAAAATGACACAGTAGACAGCAACTTGCTTCCTGATCATGTTCAAATATTAGAAGTATAGGAGCATTAGCGCAAACCATTTTATTCAAGTATTTTACCTCATGGAATGAGTTCGGATGAAATGCTCATGATATAATTGTGCTGTGATTTAATCTGCTCAGAAGTAGACTTTTGCTAACAACTTTTGTATTAATCTGAGTGTTTCCAATTTAATGATAAAAAAGTGCAGAAATATACTATACCAACATATTTTTTCTGAAATTACTGTCAGTAGAGATAACACTTAGCTCAGGGAATGCTTGTGAAAAGCATTTGAAATATAGGTATTTAATTTCTGCAGCCTGATGCTGAAGGATTAACCTGTAGACACTATAAGAATAGTTTCTCCTAGGTTCAGATACAGGTACTTTTTGTTCTTTTTTTGGCCTGGTGCCCCATGTACTATGATCTTTCCTACAAAGAAGATTTACCATTGAAATAAGTGCAGTCTTCCTACATTCAGTCTCTAGAAAAAGCTAGAGGGCTCGTCCCCCTCAGAAAGAACAACTCTTTCTATGCTTTGTTCTGTTCACCCTGATGTTTTCAACTTCAGCATGTTCTGCTGGAATGGGAGAAGGAGGTTTGGGGAGTGCTTCCCTGCAGCCTCTGAAATGTCTCTTCTGGCTTGGCTGAATACTGACAGCAAGTATTCTCATGGTGCAATCTTGAAGACTTCCTTCCTTGACTAAATATTAACTTGACTTTTAAAATGAAGCTGTAGTGTCCGTTGAAATCTGGGGATCTAGGTTCTGTAACTTCAAAATGGATCCTAAGTTGGCATTAGGATGCTACATTACTGTTTTTCACAGTTTTTAAACAAAACCCAAACTTCTCATGTCAGAATACTGTAGTTTATGCTGAGAAAGCTGTTTGTAGATGCTTTAATTAGCAGGAAATAGTAACTATTTTAAAGCTTCAGCTTCAGAACTTTGTGCTGTGTGATTTCTGGGGGCCTAGGGCTGGAACGTGATCAAAATATGGCCAAACATAATTACTTTTTGTAAAATTGTTTACTATGATGTAGGCAGAGATTCAATTACTTTCCTGGCTGGTGTCATGAGGGTCGAAGAATAATTGCATTGTATAACTTTTGTAATCCCAGGAAGTAGTGTAATGCATTTTACATTAGTGTCTTCCTTCCAGCAACTTCTGTCAGTAGTATAACTGAGTCCTTACCGGTTCAGTGCACAGAAGGCAGTGCCCAGGAAACTCAGTCAACTTTAGATTCTACATCGACTCCATCTATGCAGCCAAGGTAAGCTGTTTCTGTCTGTTCTGTGTTTTTACGTAAAAATCTGTATCAAGATGATTATATGAAGTGTACTGATACCGCATAATTAAATACTAGGATCTAGATTAGGAAAACATGTTAGACTTAACTGCTAACTTTAAAGCATGGGATCTCACATTAAATAGTAGCTGATCTGTTAGCTACATCTTGCATTCAAATGCAAATTCCTCTTTAGAATTTAGCCTCAAATAGGAGCATTGCCAGCTTCATGCTGTTCTAGTCAGACAAATCTCTGTAGTTTTCTGATTCCACAACGTGCAGTTGGTTGTACATTTATGAAAGGAGAGCTCTTCCCATCTTGGAAATTTGATGATTTTTTAAAACGGCAGAAAGCTGTTTACTAGAGCTATCATAAATGTATGATAATGTGTTAACAAAGTAGTTGTTTCATAGAAAGTGGAGCATACTAGAACAGGGGAAGGATACCTGAATCTTAGTACAAGTTGTGCTACTGAAGTGACTTCTTATTAAACAAGTAATTTCCAACTGGTTTATTCAAGGAGACGTAATTTACTCTTGTAAATCACTCACACTTACCAAGTGATCTCCATTTGTAAAAGCTAAATATTTGTTTATATTTAGTGGCTGCATTTCAGTTTAGAATGACACAACCAACAGTGACTTAAGTGCTTTGGAAATTTGAGTGAAAAATGTTAGTGTGTTATACTATGCAAGCTAACTTGCAGTAATACTCATTCCAGCTTTCCTTAAAAAAAAAAAAAAATCATAATGTAGTAAAACACAGGCTGAGGGTGATTTCATCAATTATTGTTGGCTGATTCTGTTCAGACTGTGTTTTCTGCTCCTTAGCTTTTTATAGGAGGTGTTATCTCATGCTTGGATCCTGCATATGAACTGAGAGCTGGGTGCCATGCTTGGTGCTATATTTGCTCTTTCCATTCTGGGATTTCTAATTGGGGTAGAAAATAGATATCTTACCCTGATACAACTCTTCTGGTATGTGGGGAAAAAAAAAAAATTCTTCTAAGTCAATGCACAGAGGTGAACCAATTACAGTGCCTTGGGTTTGTTTTCTTACACAACCTTTGTAATACCATGAAGGAGAGAGGAAAAAAAGGTCTTTGGTCACTAGCTTGATTACCTGTTACAGAAGAAATGAGTGGAAGGTTGCTTTGACACTGGCATGTCAAAAAATCAGTGTCACTTTTTCTCTTTTTCCCAAATGAAAGCAGGGATTCAACTTCAGTCTCTGGTAGTACCTCAGAGTTACAATACTCTGAGGAAATGTCTACTGAATTGACAGTGCCCTTCTGTAGGTGACCAAACCTGCAGTTCAAGACCTACGTGCAATTCTTGGCAATTTAAATTGCCAATTGCACCTCCAATGCCCTGGCTGTGTCATGGACTACTGGTAGGGCTTTGCTGGTTCATGGGCTGCTGGATAATCCAATTGCTTGGATTCAGAGTGAATCTCTAAGTGGAAAGGGAGAAACAAATCTGGCAAATGGGGTAGTGCTACCTCTTGCTTGGGACTTCAGCTCTGACTTGTTCCATAGTAGAGCTGCTGGATGAGCAGTTTGGCTGCAAGTGACTGCTTGTATCAAATCTCTCTCCCGTAACTGTACAGGGTATTAATCTGTGAGTTTTCAGCTATTATGTGATTTTTAGCAGTATGGCTGACAGGGTTGGGAAGTTTGGCTGGCACCACTTTACACTGAAAATCTAAGGGGTTCTGCGTACAGCTGCAGATGCTTTATTACTGGAAACATTGACATGCTGCAATTTTCTTGTTTGTATCACTAGAACACCAAAAGTAGCTCCTCTACAATTATCTTGCTGACTTACGTTATAAAAATCCTTGCATATTGAATGTTGCATTGTTGCTCCTGTGTAGAAGGATGGTTTGCCAAACTACCCTAAAATATTTTTTCCCTTTTTATAGTTGAAATGGTTTATTGCATTCAATATGAATGCAAAAATATTTAACTTTGTCATCAATTCAGATAGTCCAGTATTCTTAGACACTGTGGTGTTCTTACATGGTTACAGAAACAACTTCAGAGTGAAAAGCTTTGGTAAGCTGTTTCATCAAGGTGTACTCTAATCTATTTCTTTCAGGCTTGCGGGAATGCTCTATAGAATGTGGACATGCCTCATAAAAATCATAACCTTTCTATTTTTTTTTTTTTGCCCCCCAGCCCTGTGTCAAGTCAGTCACTTCTAACAGAATCTGTAGCATCATCCCAACCGGATAGTACGGCTGTGGACAAAACAGTACCTGAGACAGAAGATTTGCAAGGTTGGTGCCTAGTTTTCAGAGACAGAACTTACGAGTAATGCTTTTAAAAATACGACTTCTCATAATTTACTCCTGTTCAAGAGGTGGCTTATTCTCAAACCCAAATATTCTGTGAAAACAAAAGGCAAAATAAGGAAAAACTTTCTTTTCTTAAAAGGGAAGTCTTAAACTGAAAACTTGTATGTTTAACTGCTGATTTCACTATCCACCAGAACAAGTGTTAATTGTGGTTGGTAACGCGTATTGTAAATTGATCTACTGTTCTGTCTTTATGCCACAGCTCTTATATGTAAGTAGAGTTTTGAGTATCTTCTCAGAGTCATCATTTACAGCAAATATCAGAGAAGTTTGTGAGTGTATTTGTGATAGAAGGTGTTATAGCTATTAAAAGAACAGTGTTGGTATCTTGTATGAACATGAAACACCTAGAAAAGAACCTTTCACCTATGAACTGCAGTGGTGTAATATTTTGACCCACCGAAATTCGCTTTATGAAATATAAAACTGCCAAACCACAAATTCTGGTTGCTTGAAGGAAAATGGCTGAGTGAGTGATTTTAACTATATTGGTCTAAAATCCTTATTGCTGGTAGAATATAAAGTGTTTTTCTCTTAGATTTTTTTTTTCTTTTTATGTGCAGGCTTGCAGAGCTTAAAACTAAAGAGTTTTTAATAGTATTTCTTAGAAAATGCAAATATGCCAGATAGTGTACAGAATTTGCTCAAACTTGTAATCCATAGACATTATAAAAGGTATTTAAAGGTAAGTCAGTAAGTATTCTGCCTTTACTTCTGCTGATGCAGCTAAGGCTTTAGTGGGTAGAGTTATGTTTCTGTAGACTAGGCTAAACATAGGAGTTCGGGTTTTCCACAGATACAACATGTAATTCCACTTAAAGATGCTAAATATGAGTTCTTTCATTGTACCTCTAGTATCAAAGTGCTGCTTTTCAGATACTTTTCTAAACGTGAGCTCTCCCTTTTTGTAGGGAGAGCTCACGTTTAGACTCTTCTAGAAGAGTCATTATCCAGCTACCGCACTGAGTAAGGCCACCTCCTCAGTCACACAAACAGTAGCTGTGAAACTCAGAGAAAAGGATTTAATGCTAATGTTGTTTTGTACTAGCCTTTGATATGTCAATTATTAGAAACATGTTTACTCTTAGAAAGATAGGTTCTAGACATATGTTCCAATACCTGCTATTTAGTTTGTTTTCTGGAGCTGAGAGCTCTTGTTGCCTCAGTTTTGACAACCCACATAAGGTGAGCTCTTAATACCGATCAATGATCTCTGGCCTTACCCAGCTTGAGAGAAGAGCAAGCGCTGAAAAGGCTTATGCTTCTTAAGTTTCATATATTTTTACAGCAGAGGTAGGTTTGCAAGCTAGATTTGTAGTTGATACACCTCTGAGAAATACACATATGGCTCTACTTTTTATCCCTGTTTTGTGGTACTGGGATGTGCTGTGTGCCAGCTGTAACCCAGCTGCTACGCAGGTACGTCCCTTTCTGGGAACATCAGAAGTAGAACGCTTCTGTCAGGCACATGAATATTGCACTGCAGGTATGGATGTGGCACATAGTGGAGAGTATGAAGGCTACTTCTGTAAGCTGATCTTCCTACTACCCTGCCTTGTTTTTTCTTGTTAGTCTCATGATTCTTCGTCTTCCATCCAGTGCCTGAATTAGTCTGTCTGTTTACATATGCATCTTGCTTGGCTTAGCTGTAAGTTGAAACTCTAGGTTTGAAGCATCTACTGCCTTTTCACTGGGAGGCAGGGGGAGTGTTTGATTATTTTAAAATAATCTTCGATGCTTTTATTGTGAGGTGACTTGGGCCTGTGAAAAGACTTTTCCCAGCAAGTTTTCAGAGGAATGTGTCTCTTACCCATTTGGATAAACTTATGCTCCTTCTAATTCTCCACCTCTAAAGCTAATTCTCCCTATGAGAAGATAAGATAGATTTCTCAACGAGAAGCTTTGATTTCAGGGGTGTATTCACATTTTACAGCATGATTTTCAAGGATCAACTTAGCTGAGTACTCTAAACACCTCATATATGTCCTGTGTCCTTTTCTTTGTACCATAGTGATTTCTAAACTAAGAACACCACCACCGTGTAATTGCAGTTCTAAATTACAGTCCCTATTTATAACTCGCTGTGGCAGGGTCAGCCTCATTTTCTGAAGAGTTGCTTCTGTGCTATCCCTTAACTGAAAATCATAGGAAATGTAGTGTTTCCACTTTTGAAGTATTTTGCTTTGAAAGCGCAAGTTTGTAAAGAAAGCAGCTTATAATGGATGCGAAGTGGCTTTCACTCAGTTGTCACAATTGTGCATCCTAAAGTTTTTTGGTTTGTTTCTCCATTATTCAGAATTTGAATTTTAGGCTGCTAACAAGAATGTAATAGAAATGTGTGAATCAAAGTTATTTAGTATTGTCTGGCTTTGTAGCGTTTAAAAAAGAAAAAAGTCACAGAACTGTGGGAATTGGTCCTAGACTAAAGAGCTTATAATGCTACTTCTGTTGATATAGGGGAGGAAAAAAGAAATTATGTCTGCTTTGATCACTTGTTCAGTATTTATTCTGAAAAAAATCTTGCTTTGTTGGAATGGCTGATCTGGAGCAAATTGTTTTATGCTACTTGTAAGTCAGTCTATTGTAGTTACATGTAGTTGAGGTCCCCTTAACTTTTGCTGTTGAACACAATTTACTAGGCTACAATAACAACGAATAAAAGATTGGACGAATAGTTAGGCTGTCTTTGATTACTTTTATTATTTTTTAAAGCAGACAGATAAATGGGACTTGAGCTGTGTGCACACAGGTCTTACTGTTTGCAGACAATCTAAATCTACAAAGGGATAAAAATCCTAAAGAGCAGTGCAGATTTGCTTGTCTTCATTGTATTTATGCATTGCAAAAGAAATAGAGGAAAGCTATGGAATATGTTAATAAATCTAGATTTTAAAGGTAGCAACTGTGTCATACTGCTTCTAGGTACTGAACACCGCAAAAAGCCCAGGCATTAGCTAGTGGCTAATAGATTATTTTTTAAGTTTTAATGTTCTTAAATATCATGAACATATTGCTGGTGATCTAAAATCATCATATTAAGGTACAATGCAGCTTTTGTAGCAGCTTTCTTCTATTTTGAGCATCTCTCCCAACTCATTTTAGACTGCCTCATGAACTGTTGTACCTTTTGGTCGACATTACAGCCCTGTTAGGATTAGCCAGTCAGGATTCCTTATTTGTTAGCCAGGGATTAATGGGGCTGGCTCCTGGCAAGCCTGCAAGCGGGTAAAGAGGTGCTTTACTTCTCTAGGATTAATGAGTTTAAAACCATCCAGGTTAGGATTCATGCTTTATATTTCTGGGAGGTTTTTAAAGGTAAATGAAACTTGTCATGAAGGCAGGACGCTCCACCACATATGTTACAGAGCTCTTGCAACTCGACAACACAAGGCTAAAAGTACAAATTGTAATAACAGGTGAGCTTTTAGCCTCTTTGAAGCTGAAAACATCAGAGAACCAAACGAGCCACTCTGATTTTCAAACTCATTGCTAAATTGGAGAGGTCCATATATTAGCAATGCAAAATGCAATCAGTCGTGTAATATGGTGTGCTTAGTCATTTGAAAAATCAAAATACTAAGATTTAACTATCTAGCTAGAAAGTGCACGGCTGTTCTTTTCAATTAAGTCACCTGGTTTTGCGCTCGTCTAGGATTTTTGTGAGGTAAAACAGTTTAAAAATTCAGTCATTGCTGACTAAGTTAAAAAAAAATTGATATCAAACCAGTTAAATTGCTACAGAGTTTTACATGGAGATAACCTGGGCCTAAGGTGAATGCTGTTACTAATGGCATCAACTGCAGAGGACCTCATCAGGGCTAGCTCAGTAGACAGAACTGGAAAGGAATTGATGGATACTTCCGATTTTTGTGATGATACCAGGGGCTTAGAGGTCGAGTATGATGATGGGACAAGTACAGAAAATAATGTAGGATATCCTGATTTACTGGATAAATGCTCCAGAGAGAAAGGAGACATTCACAAGAAAGATTTAAAACTAATTTGCCTCTTCCTAACACTGAAACAGTGTATTTTAGGCCGATTACTTCAGCTTAGTGTTAAAATGTTAGGAAGTAGGGATCTTCTGCTTAGGATTAACTTCACATTTCATTCCTCTGGAGGAGTGGATATTCTTCTGGTCAGATGCACTTAAGAAGGAAAGATAGCTTTCCTGTGGGAGCAAGGAACCTTTTTCTTTGGGAAGCTCTGCCTGGTAATACAGGGGCGATAAACGCAAAACGTCCAGGGTAGGGAGAGAGGAGAGAACAGATGAGGTGTTGGGAGTCTTGCAGCAAATGCACGGAGTTTTGTGTTGTGCCTGCAGGGATGCAAGGGCTGGCGTGTGCTTTATCTCACAGGTACTGTTTTCACAGTCTGGCAGTCAAAGTACAGTGAAGTTCAGGCAGGGTTGGCACAAGCAAAGCAGTAGCAAAAGCTTCTGCCTTTAGGAGGAAATCCAGACTCTGCTTGTTTTTATCAGCTAAGAACATGCTCTGTACAACAGGGAACTTCTAGTGGCCAGCCCAACTTGTCAGCTCCAGAAAAATTGAGTGTGTGTTCATGCTTATTCCTTTTTGGTTGGTTGGCAGCTTGTACTGGTGCTGCCAGTGCTTCTGTTCCCCAGCTGAAGGCAGAGCTGGGGCTGGGGGAAGGGAGGGAATCGGTTCAAGCAAAGCAGGCAGCAGCATCCTGGAATCCAGACAAAGTACAGCAGCTGGGAGCGGCTGCAACACGTTTCCTGTAAGCTCCAAGCTGCATGGTGTTGCTTTTTACCTGGCTTTTTTCTATTGCCTTCATCACAGCTAGCTTAGACTGAGGACTAAACCCTGGCAGTTTGTCATCTGAAGGTGGCTTAGTGGTTGGGATTTTCATGATCATCCTAGAGGATTTTGAGTCAGATCTCTGGCTTCCATGCAAAAGCAATTTGAAATCTAAAATTCATGGTTACTACAGTAGATACAAAGAGACTTGTGGCAGCATTAGAACAATCTTCCCACTCAGTTCTACAGTGAGCAGGCAGCCTTAAATATTTTTAAACCTTTTTAATGTGAGAGCCGTACGCACAAAGAAAATGTAAGTATGTATGTATTAGAGAGCCTTGTTATGCAGGGAATGGTGCCAGTTTTTCCTAAATTTGGCTAATAGTTACAGAGGCTTTTAGTAAAACTTACATTGAGGTAGCTGGATTTTGCTACAACAGGAAACAAACTTGAGAATGTGAGCTGCTAAACACTAATTCATGGCATGAAGCTTTCTTAATGAATTAATAAACACGGCAATGTCTGTTTTCTGTAACACTGCAAGACTTCATTTGAGTAAGTCTTACCACTTCTGATATTGTCTTGCATCTCTTAATCCTTCCTGCTTTTGACTCTTATCTTGCAAACCTTTGGATATTCTCTGTCTGCTCAGAAATGTGCCCTTTAACAGCCATTTAAAGCCATTGAACCTTTTTTGCAAACTATCAATTCTTATAAATTTTATCACAGAGGAAAGCTCTGCTTGTAACACAGATGGTGATTTTGAAAGGATTTAATAAACCATGTATACAGTCTATCTTTGCTAGATTAACCTTTGGAATATACTGTCCACTTGGGCAAAGTCTGTGCTGGTGGTCAGGTATTTTGCTACCCATTGGTGTTGCTTGGTACAGGCTGCAATGTTTTGATACATTGCAGAAGTGGAAAGTGTCCTTTCCTTTAAAAAAAAAAATAAAATCACCAGAATAGCAGCACAGGAAAAAAGAAAAAAAAAAAAACCACCACCAGAATTTTCATGCAGAATAGCAGTCAGCTGGCATAGAACCAGCACAGAGCTGCATCTGACAGTCTTTGCCTAACAAAAGTCCAGCTGCACAGAGATGCCTGCAGCTTTTTCCCTGACAGATGTCTGGGCTTGCTGTTGTATTCCCTCCTTTACAGCACTGGTTCTAGCTCTGCTCCCATTGACACTCCTCCCAGCTGGAGCTTGCTTTCGTTCTTTGCCTCTTTGCTGCAAATACTCCTCGCTTCTGTGTGCCTTACTGGAGACTTGTCTTGCTGTGATCTAGCAGTGGCTGGTAGGCAGAGATTGGCTCTTAGCCCTTCTTGAAATGAAGTTGGTTTTTTTGGTTTCTATTTCTGTTTTGTAATGTAAGGAATGTGCAAATACTTGAGGAAAACCAGCCAATTTCTATTTTTACCTGGGTCAGGCAAATACTCCCATTACTTGTTTATATTCTCCCACACAACCTGTAACCTGTCTCTTTCAGATGTTAGAGAATATTACAGTAGGTTGAAAGTTGTCTTAGCAAAAGTGTCTTTAAAATGAGATGTTTACCTGCTTCCTTTTGGGTTTTGGGATAGTGCACTTCCTCCCTGTAAGTCTGTGTCTTGAGCTAACGGTGTCTCACCCCAGGTAGTAACTAGCCCCTGTGTAGTCTTTTTCCAGGTGTGCAAGAGCAGCAGTGTCACACTGGTAGGTATTGTTCTGAAACACTGCATTTTGTGTGGCCTCAGTACTGCAGCCTTCAGCAAAAATAATGTTGATTCAGTATTTGAAAGGGAGTGTTTTACTCAACTGATCCTAATAAATACAATGCTTCTCACAAGCAGATTTGGGAAACTAGACTAGTAACATTGGTGGGGAAACGCTTGGTGTTGGATTCTCTTCCCAAATCTGACAGCACTGAATCTTGCTCTTAAGCCTAACTTTTAATTATTTTGTTTCTTTAATGTTGTTTTTGCACTGTAAATTTTATGTGAGCGTTCAGTGAATTCTCTAATTAAATTAGATCAAAGGTCTAGAAGGAGGGAGATCCAGTACCACTACCGAGAGTCCATTAGACTTCTGGCATGGAAGCTTCAGCAAAACGGCTAATCCCAGAACCTAAATTTACAACATGGGCTTTAGGTTACCATATGACTTAAGCAGAGGAAGGGGAGAGACACAGACTTTTTCTGCATTGTTCTTATTAACTTATTTAATATTAGCTTCAGTGTCAGAGAACGCAGAGCCTACACCTGAAGAACAAGACAAGTCGCTTGACAAACCAAAACAGAAAAAGAATCGTTGTTTCATGTGCAGGAAGAAGGTTGGACTTACTGGTAAGAAATTCAGATTTCACTTTTCTTAGCTTGTTTAGGCTTTGGACCTTTGAAAGGTTGTTCTTTTAAGGGGAAAATGGGGCATGGTCATCTTGATGTTGTGGATTTGAAATAAAAGTTGGCCAAAGGTGCTTTCAGCTTGGCTCTTACTAGATTTAGTCATTAATGTATTATTTTGTTTTTCAGCTTCCTGTCTTTAAGTGAAATTCATAATTCCAAATACTTCCCTTTGGAAGTCTGCTTAGCTGAGGACAGCTTTGCAGTGGTTCAGTGAAAGGGCCTAAGAAAACTTGAGGGTGAAGACTCACAAACAAAGAAAAAGAGCAGGAGGTCTCTAGGAATGTGTGTTGTGCTAGTGTATCACGTGGTAGGAAGGCATGGTCAAGTCAAATCTTACTGTAATAGCTTAAAACTGTATTATTTGTGATTCTTATGCTTTCTGCAGCAGAGGCTCTTTGGCTGATTGACACTGCTGACTGAGATTTATTGCTAGTGAGTGAACACATTCAGGATTTAAAACAAACCAGTATAATTAAGAATGTTGAAATGTCTAAGCTAATATTTCTATCCACAGGGTTCGAGTGTCGGTGTGGAAATGTTTACTGTGGTATGCACCGTTATTCAGATGTACACAGTTGCTCTTACAATTACAAAGCTGATGCTGCTGAGAAAATCAGAAAAGAGAATCCTGTAGTTGTTGGGGAAAAGATCCAGAAGATCTGAACTGCTGCTTCTGCTGGAAAACAAAATCCTCTGACCATCTGCAGATTAAATTGACTTGAGCTTTTTTCCTTAGTCATCAGGAATGTAGAGCAGTGTATCTTGCCTAGACCTTTTAATCATGCATGTCATCAGATGAATAGATTTTTTGTTTTTGTTTTTTGTTTTGAAAACGACTCTGAACATTTATTTTCATTGCAGTTTTCTGTGGCTGAAGACTTAAGTAAACTTTACAAGTATTATCCTTTAAGATCATTTTAATTTTAGTTGAGTGCAGAGGGCTTTTATAACAAACGTGGAGAAAATATTGGAGGGCTGTGCTTTTCCAGGATAAAACATGCATGCGTTAACTTTGCAGTTTATTTTCTTGTTGTATATAGCTTTTCTCTGCAGCACAATTTCCTTTTTTTGATAATGCCTTGTATGGCACAACTAGTTATCAGTAACTGAATGTATTTTAATCATTATGGCTGCTTCTGGTTTTTTTTTCCCATTAACGAGAGGTTATACATGTTCGCATATTAGCTTGTTTGCACCCTCTACCTATTTATGTATGAATCATTTGTAATGAGAGTGTGTGCTGAGATTGTCTGCGTGTTGGTTATTTTTTTTTTTTAAATTGGTTTTTGTTTTTGTGTGTGTGGGGGGAAGGCTGTATGCACTTCATTTGACTGCAGGTTTCATTGGGATTACATCCATCAGTCTGTACACAAATATGAAGAATGATCTGAAGTATCTGTGCTGTATTTATGTTTATCCACGTCTTAACTTTGATTAAATAAAATTTAAAAAGATTGGAGCCCCTGTGGCTGTCACTGGCATCTGTAATTTGGATTTTTCTTGTTTTATTTTCATGGGGAACTTCCACTGGTGGTTCCCTTACAGTGTATTTATTCCTGTCCTGTATCCCAATGCCAGCTAACTTCTGATTTTTACTTTTTTTTTTTAACCTTTTCACATCTAACTATCAGGAAGACTACAGTTTCCAGAAGCTTTCTACCTTGTACATTGATATATTCTGTGCAGGGAGTTCTCCGTGCCTCCTGTGTGGTTCATCACTCGTGCAGGAGTTGGGGCCATTTGTGACAATGTACTTAGGCTGGGGCCAGAGCTACAGGTAAAACAGATGAGGCTGGTGACGGGGCTGTGGATCCATGGATGCGATTCTGGCTCTAGGAAATACAGCTGTGGAGCTTGCGATCCAGTATCTGACACGCAGTGCTGCACAGGCTTCCCTGAAGTTAGGCGAGAGAATGGTTCTTGAGACAGTTTCTCTGGTGAGATGTCTTTACTTCTGAGGTTTGAAATCCATAGGCTTCAACGCTGGACACTGCCACAGCCACCCTACACATGCTCCCTAGCGGATCTCCAGGCTTGTAAGTGAACCCCATTCGGGCATAGGACAAATCTTCTATTATTGTCTTGTGAGGGTGCTCAGTAACTTTAATTAAGGTTGCCTGGCTTGTCAGATCAGAGACTGTGCCTCAACCATTCAACCACCCTGGTTATCCACATAGCTTAAAGGTTGAATGGTTTATGTAGTACCATGGTAACTTCAGCCAGCACTGCTTATCACCAAACTTAACAGAATACTAAAGTAGAACTAATTCCTCTCCAGATGGTACTGATCTGCAGTTGAAATTTCACTTGGTGACTTGCTGCTGCTTTCAAGCATTTGTGAAATAAATGAGATTGCATGGCTTTATTTAAAATGTTAAATTTTTAATCAAAGCTGGCTACATCCTTTAAAATTCTGAATGCTCTTTAAAAGCTATGGCTGGCAATTAGTAGATAAAGCACTACATTTAGCATACAAACACTGTGCAGCAGAAGGAGCTTTCTCTATCAGATAGCTGTGGAAAGTAATCTGCAAGACCCAATAATAAATGAAGTATCTTGTGCTTGCAAAAATGGCTTAACCGCAATCTATGAAGCACATGGGTTTTATAGTAAAAGAAGGAGTAAACAGCTCTTTCTAGCAAGCTTCAGCTATGGTCTGCCTTTTTATGGGTCAAGGATCCTGTATTTCCTCAGAGCATTTGCTAAATTTCCTCTTACACAGTGCAGAGCGTGGAAAAGCAGCAGTGTCTTCTCTTCTGTGGGTGTTCCTCTGTTTGCTTTCCTCTTTGCTGCTACTTCCCTATGCTGTCATCCTTTTCTTCTGTTTGACTCCTCCCTCTTCCCTATTTTGGGTCTCTCTCCTCCTTTTCCTGTAAGTGTCTTTCTTTCCCCTTGGTGCCCTCCCCTCCAATCTGCCTTTCAGCTGACAGCGGTGCTTCTGGGTGGGCAGAGGGGATGCTGTAGATTTCAGTGAGGGGTGGAACCAGCCCTGTTTGTGTTTTCTGGTATCTGAGAGATGGAAAGAAGAAAAGGCACAGGAAAAGAGACTGCCTTTGGAATTCATGTACTCCTTCTACCACCGCTGGTTCTGAAGCAACAACTCTCCTGGCCCTCGATTACAGGGTAGGAAGTGGGACTGCACCAAGGGGCAGCCTGCCTTGCACAGCGGGGCAGACCCATGTCTGGCGGTTCTACTTCCACACGCATCATGCTCAAAGCAACCTCAAACCTCCTTGGCATAGCTTGTGCATTTTTCTCGGACTTGAGAAGATT